AGATGAACTCTGAACTGATGCTCGACCTCTGAAGCATCCATCTGTTGACAGCAGAAGCTGTCCCTGATTTAATAACTGTCCTGTATCAAATAATGTTTGTCATGAGATCTGCATTTCCCCTTTCCCTTAGGCAGTCTCATGACCCAATGTAATTAGGGGCATGGAAAGCTAAATAAAAGAGGCTGAACTACAGGAAGTATCTCAGAATGGTGGATTTGGGTGTACGAGAGACTTCCTGTCCAGCGTTCTCCTCACTTTGATTCTAAGCCATGGTTTGATTGTCTCATTTGCTCCCCTGTTTTTGTATGTATTTAGGAAAATAACCTTCAATCAGGCTGCATCAGTTTGGTGAAGTATTTGAGTGATGCGTTTAATATCCTACTTTGCTGGTGAGTAAACCTTTAAACAAAAACTATTTTTGTCTTCAGACGTATCGTCACCTCTGCAACAGGTATTTAACAGTGCTGACATTTTAAGTTTAGTCATCATTGGTGTTTAACACATAACTTCTACATTTTACACAATATTCAGGGAGTCACTCACATAGATCTCATCAAACTTGCCAAAGTCCATGGTCTTGAAGCGATCTATTGGTGGTCTGATGTACTCACAGTAGGCACTCTTCTTTACCACCTCTAACTGCCGCACACAAGACACATACGCCAACCGAGACTGGATCTCTGCCATGTCTGGAACCTGTCAGAGTGATTAATGAGAGCAGTTTGACTTACTTAAAAACCTACTAGAAACAAAATATTTTTAAATTTACTGATTTAACAACAAATCACTGATGCTAAAAATCAATTATGGTGAAGCTCAAAATGGTTATTACAAAAATTACCAGCTTTTTGCATTGCCAATGCTTATTATACCTTTACTTTCTCTGCCCAGGGATTGATCCGTTTCCACAACAACCACCAGCCAGACAGGCTGTCGCCGTAGTTACAGAGATCAGTCTCATCTTGGCTACCGACATCAATGGCAATGACTGTCCTGGCACCCATGTTCCTCGCAATGTCCGCTGTTGGACGTGCAACACCAGTATTCACAAACGATCAGAGAGATGGTCAAAGGCAGCTCGACAAAAACAAGGCGGATAAAAAGACAAACCACACTCTCAAGGAAAGTCTCAGTTTCTGTAAACACTCAGCGAGAAAGCCACAGCGATACAACAGACTTACACCACAAAACCATCAGTTTAGGATGACACACACCAGGGCGTTTACGGCCAATTAGTTAGACAAAACACTGATATACGGAAAAGGAAAACTGTTTAGTATCCAATTTTAGGGCCTGAAGTCATGGCCTTCAGACTGAGTGTAAGTGCCTTGTGGCAATGAGTAATTTTGTGATGTTTAGCCTATGTGAAGACAGAAACAAGAAGACATTCCAGAAACCTAAAGCTATGAAACAACCTACCAAAAAGAACTGGAAAAATCAGATGATCTCCAGCACAAACTGATGAAAAGACTGGGTTATAACTGTGATAAAAATTGACTTTTTTTTAGCCAGATTGATCTTTGGGCTCAGAAAGCTTCTTATTTCACAAACTTTTTTTTATTTTATGAAGAAACAAATATGTCTGTAGTCTTAAGTTGTAAGACACAAACACAGACTTAGGAGAGGCTTTTTTTGTGCACGATAATAAAAACATTTTTATATTAGTATTAGTATCATTACAGAAATATTGTACACTGTATTACGTATGTTTCTAATTATAAACACAAATTACAAATCAGCCAATCACATTGCAGCAACTCAATGCTTTCAGAAATCAGAAGAGGGAAAAAAAGGGGATTTAAAGGGGACATATCATGCAAAATTCACTTTTTTAGCTATTACATAGTGTAACTATTACATACATTTAGTTGTGTACTTGAAGTCTCTAGGTGTGCAGAAAATTGCTACGAAGATGTCTATATTCTGTTTAGGTTATATTTTTCAACTCGTTCATTTTTCTCTATTGTCTGTGATGTTATTACATCACAGCATTTGCAACCATTCGTCTTCTGGAAGCTGGAGGGGGCAGAGTGTAAAGGGCTTTGGATTTAAAGAGACAGCATCAAAACAAATTGATCTGAGACACATCTCAGAAAAGGGCTTGTGGAGTTACAATAATGAGCTCAGACCAAAGCCTTGCAGTTCTACTTTAGACCCCAACTGAATGATTTAAATATGAAAAAGAATGATTTAAAAGCAGGATATGTCTCCTTTAAGTGGATTTGAGCGTGGCGTGGTTGGTTGTGCCAGATGTGAAAGATGTTTGCTGGTCTGAGCATTTTAGAAACTACTGATCAACTGGGACATTGCACACAACCACCTCTTGGGTTTACATATCCTTATCAGACCAGACAATGTTTTTCCAGTCCCTTATTGTCTAATTGAGGTGATCTTGTCCAAGTCGTAGCCTCAGTTTCCTATTCTTAGTTGACAACATGAGCGACATTTGGTGCGGTCTTCTGCTGCTGTAACCCATCTGCTTCAAAGTTTGATGTGATACTCAGAGATGATACTCTGCAGAAATTGGTCGGAACAAGTGGGTATTTGAGCTACAGTTGCCTTTCTATCATCTAAAAATATACGTCCACTTTCGTCTGACATCAACAAAACATTTTCATCAACACAGCTGCCACTCTTGATATTTTCTCTTTGTCGGCCCATTCTCTGTAAACTCTAGAGATGGTTGTGTGTGAAAATCCCAGCAGTTCGGCGGTCTCAACATGCATATTCAAAATCACATCCCCTTTCTTCCCTAATCTGATGCTCTGTTTGAGTTTGAGGATGCTGTCTAGATGCTGATAAGCCATTTGTGTTAACAGAAAATTGAACAGGTGGGCTCAATAAAAGGGTTGATAAATATATTTGGCACAGTGCAATTTTAAATTAATTTAACCAATTGCAGAAGTATTTATAGGGTTCTCACACTAAAAAAGCACCTCACACAATCTGAATACAAACAACAAATTCATATTTTCACTTCACAAAAAAAAAACAACATTAATTTCAAAACCACCATAAAGTGCAACACAAACTATGGTAGGGCTAGGCGATATGGACGTCTGAAATATTTCATTAATGAAAGAAAAATTGTGCTCATCAGATTAACAGAAAATTTTAAAACTGGAATTGTAATAGGCAATTATTTTTAAATGATGACACTTTAGAAGTAATAATTTGAAGCCAGAAATTTGTCAAATTGTCACAGGATAGATTCAGGTCATCTCGACCATTTGATGAAATGAAATAACGCCCAGCCCTATAAAAAAACAACAACAAAAAACAAGTGTTAAGCTTACAAAATACATTCAGAAAAACAGACTGATATCTTTTGTAAATCGGAAAAAAGAAAATGCAGATTCTTATTATTTTTATTGATAAATAAGAAAAAAATCCCTCCCATCATTTATAATTTAGCTATTATTTGACACCAGACTGTTTGACAAACACAATTAACATTTTTAAATTAAAATATATTTTTTCAATAAATAAAAAAAACAACTTTCTTTAAATTCTGACTTTTCCCATCTTTATAAACCAAGTATTTCAGAGTTTCAAGGAAGAATTTCACCATTAAAGACCAACTACTAAAATGGAACAGCAAAGGTGACTAGCTTTTTTTAAACTTACAATTTGGGCATTTGTGTAAACAGAACATATATTGCTTGAGACGCTTTCTCCAATTTTTGAATAAATATCTAACTTGTCACATGAGAGATTGGCTGTAATGGTTTATTTTTCAGATTGGGAAACTCAGCACAAATGCAACACATATCTACGGTACTTACCTCTGAATATTACTAAATTGATTAAACCTCTATATAAAGCATCCCCATTCATGTTTTACCCCTTCTCCCCCCTTCAGTAAATAGGAGGTGGGGTGACATTGAGAAATATGCAAAATGTTGAC